CTCCTTCATCCAGCAACTCAAGAACCTCATCTTTTGGGGCTGAGTCAGATTTCTGGACCACTCCAGTGATGTGGAATGATGCTACATGGAAAGTTTTCTATCTCTGAGCTAAGTGTTTTGCGAGACCAGGGCTTCCAGCTTCATGCTCTTCTTCTGTACTTTTCAGCATCTTTAGTACTAATGGGATCCCAAAGTGTTTTACGCACTTAAATAATAGATCATGTCAGTGGGACAAAGGTATTGGCAAGGGATTGAAGACAGGTGTTCCAGGGAGGGCTGGAAAAGAGGCAACATTTTTAAGAATTAAATATTCATGCCAAGAACGGCTGGGCTGACATGGAATGGATTGTTTTTCTCCTGCCTTGGAGTTCCACAGCTTTGCTTCTCACCCACTGGCCAAGAATGTCAGCCTGACTGTCAAAATGTTTAGTGGAAGCATCAGTGTGCTCTCCAGTCTATTTTTAAGAGGAGGCCAAGAATGGCAATTAGCTAACCACAGTCCTCTCCAGTTTCAGATGCCTAGTCTGTCCTCTGACTCACCTTATTGTTTTTTTACCACAACTTGACTACTTTTGGAGAAAGTTGGCTGAAGTAGTCCCTGTGCCTCAGCAGTTCCGATCGTGCCTGCACAAGAGAAAACAAGAGAGGACGCAGACCACCGAATGCCAAGGAAGCAGAGGCAAACGGCCTCCTTGGGCTTCCTGTGGGAGGAGCCCTGAGCTGACGGTCATGTCTGAAAGGCAAAGTTGGGTCAGATCGCAAGCAAGAGCCCTTAGACCAGCACAAGGCCCTAAGCTATGTTGTACCATGACAGAAGGGAGCACCGTCTGACATGCCCTGTTCTTCTTCATGCCCTGGGATGGTGGTCACCCATGCAGGCACTCCACAGACTCAGATCTTCTTGGTTTTGGCCTGGTTGCTGCACCGGGCACTTTGGACCATGTCCGGGCCATGGGCTCAGTGGTACAAAGGAAAAGCCTTTGAACAACTCTGATGTGGGAGAATGATAGAGACACATGAACGAGACATCAGGAGCTGTCCATTCCATGTCTTCAGGAGAAGTATCTCCTTTTGCTGCAGAATATTGCAACAGTCAAACATGAATATCAAAGTAAACGGATTAGCAGACTCATGGAATAATACAGTTGGAAGAAGCCATGAAGGCCATCGGGTCCAACCCTCTGCTGTTGCAGGACAGCGATGTCTGCCCTATTACTTCCATAATACACCATGTTTACTTCCATAATAGATATGGAAATGTTGATACGGCATTTGATACAGCATCGTGCACATTACAAAATATATTTTATGAGCTAGTCTACATTCCTGCCTTTATGCCAAAACTGGCACCCAAAAAGGCTAATAGTAAAACATAGATGAAAACGTAAAAGCTCAGGAAAGCAAAATGCACCAAATGAAAGTGACTTGATAAGATCGCACATGGTGTCAAAAGGGCTCCTCCTCACCCCTTCCATAATTTGAGAATTTGAGGCCCTCCAATGAACTATTAGCAACTGATTGAACTATGCTCGGGGTCTGCTTGTTGGTATATGAAGCCCCTAAACATCTCTGGACCAGGACACCTGGCTTACTGCCTCCCCCTGTATGCATCCAGTCAACCTCTGCATCCTGCATCGTAGGTCATTCCACAACAGACAGAATGTTGCAAAGTAAGAGCACATCGGCACACCTTGGTTGTGGCACGCACCCTCTGCAACACCGTTCCGTGCGTTGCACAAGAGACAGATAGTGTATCCAGGTTTAAACACCTCCTGAAGTGAGGTCTGTTTATCCAGGACATCCCTGACCTGTAAATGATTATGGCATTGCTCAGTTATATAACCAGTCTCGCAATGTTTATAGACATCTATTCTTTATTGGTTTTGTTCCATATTTTATATGTATGAGTTGTGAACCACTTAGAGATCTTAGGCTATGACATCGTATAAGCTGGTGTGTGGGAAACGAACAAGCTCAAGGAGTATCCAGGATGGAGGAACGGAGCCTCCCTCTTTAGTGTATCTTGGTATACCAAGTAACCAGGACAGGAAGCAAGCTTGCAGGTCTCCTGGGGACAGGTGGCTGGACCCTCTGAAAAACTGGGTTAGGAGCAAAGGAGGAGACCTGCCAGATCTCACAAAAGGCCAATCTCATTGAACCTTCTGCTTGTGCGATGGCAACCAGATAACCCAGTATAGGAGTCCAAGAACAAGAGTTCCCTTTTGTGTCCCACAGTAGCAGATATGTGGAGTATATCACTGCCACTGGAGATGATCTATGAGCATCAAAGTGAATAGCCTTTGAGAATCTCTGCAAATCTATCTAATCAGGTAGCCATCACCCAGCGCTGTGCCAATGAATTCTCGAGTTCAGCTCTCTGCTGGATGAAGAAGGCCATCCTTTTGTCTTTTCTGAATTTCCCGTCATTCAGCTTAATTGGATGGCCTAACAGTTGTGGGGGAATAATGTGTGTCTCTCCATCGTGCATCATTTTATCTCTCACATCTCTCACTTCCTCTATTACTCCCCATTTTTCTAAACTGAATACCCCAATTGTAACCTATTCACTGAGGGCTCTTGTTCCAGTTCGCCTGCCCATCTGGGTCGCCCTTGCATCCGTTCCAGTCTTCTGATTGGCTGCTGCCGGGAAGAAGCAGGTCCTTGTTCTGATCCAGTCCTTTGGCTAGTTTGCATGGCTCTCCTGTTTGCTCAGACATAAGTTTTCAGTCAGTTCAATGACACTTTGGGAAGAATGGCTCTTCAGATGAGTGGCATTCCCTTCACCACCCAGACTTGATATGTGTGAATGTATTTCTGCTGGATCTTCCACAGTCAGCCGTTCTGGAAAGTTATATATAGAGAGTGAATACACACACAGAGAGAAAGATTATATATGTAGAGAGTTGGGGGAGGGAGAAGCCTTCAAGGAGTCTTCGCTCACCTTGTGCTCCCAGATGTGTGAGATGACAACTCCCATTACTCAGTAGATGGGGATGATGGAAGCTGTCATGGAGCCCATTTGGAGAGTGCCAGGTTGGGGAAAAGGCTGCCTTAGAAACGAGAAGGCAGGAATCTTCTCTCATAGCAAGAAGGGACAAATTTCTCACACAATCTACATTGTTTTCTCCAGTCAAGGAGCTGGGCTCGAGCTGTTCTTTCACTGAGAACCTGAAGTCCCACCACGGCAGCCTGGTACCAAACAGCCGTGCACTGAAGATTTCTAAGCTTGGGAATTTGTTTTGAGTAGCAGAGCTGAACAGGGCTCATGGTCCTTCCATCAAAATTCCACTCCTAGTGACTCTTGGTGGTCTCCCCGCTCCTGCCATTTCAACAGCCTAATTTAATAGGTGCATTGCTTTGTTCGGGTTATCACCAAACCTTTCGAAATCAGAAATCCTTGCCTTTGGACTGAAAAGCACTTGGGAATCTGCCAGCAGGTCTGAATCTGTTTTCTGCCCAGCGGTCTGGAAGGCTGCAGTCTGTACTCCTGTAAGACCTGGTGTGGCTAAGAGCTGTGTGAGCCAAGCACTGGCTTCTTGCTTCACTTCTCATGAGCATAAGCTCACCTGCCCAAGCCACTCTGCTCACCCTTTCCATCTGCAGTATGGGTATAATGCTACAGATCAGCTGATGTTCCAAGATGAAGTTAATGGGACATGCACAGGTCTGAACAGTATTTATTGGATTCCTTTCCTACGGTTACTCAGGTAGCCACCCTCCTTAGAACCCTGCAGGGTAGGTTTGACTGGAGAGATTGCAACTGGTCGGCCCAAAGGGGTTTGGGACCTGGTCTCTCCCTGCGCACTGCCTGGCTCAGTCCCGATCCTGACACGCTCTGCCAACTGCCTTTCCGCCAACGTCTCACCTCCTTTTAAAGGCGAGTGAACGGCAGCACCGCACGGCGCTGAGCGGTCCACCCCTTTCCACCGAGGCACGTCTCCTGGGGGTTCAAGGAGAGGAAGAACTTCCTTACTCGTAGGGTGTTTCGGGCGTGGAAAAAGAAGCTGTCTGACGGGGAGGAGCAGGGAGGCGGGAAGCCCCCCCCCCCTTTCCCAGGCAGCCAACACGCAAAGCATCCTGCCAAGGACCTGTTGTGGATGCTTGGGGTGGGGGAAGTTACCTCTCTCCACCCCAGGGAGTCTTTTGTGCTTGACGGTTGCTCTACGCCTCCCCCCGCCCCCAAATACACAAACAGGCGGGCGCGCGCGCGCACACGCGCACACACACGCGCGCACACACAGCGCCCGACTCGCATGCGGTTCTCTCGGCAAGGCTGCAGTCTCCATCCCCGCCCCTCCTTCTTCCTCCTTGCGGTGGGGGGGGGCGTCTCCTAGCAAGAGAGTTTCCCTGCTGGAGAACTTGGCGATCTCTCTAGTGGCGCGCGGCAGTGGCGGGGGGGGGGGGGAGGGCAGGAGGCTAGGCGGCGGATGGAGAGCGACTGACACTGCCTCCACGCCCCCGCCCCCTCCCTCAGCCCCCCGCCGCTGCGGCGCCGCCCCCGCCCCCAGAAGCCCCCTGCTCCCCCTGCCTGCCCCTCGGCTCTCCTCCTGACACCCCCGCGCCGCCCCCGCCCCCTTTGCCACTCGCTCGCTCACTCACTCACTCGCGCTCCCCCTTCCTGCCTCTGCGCACTCCACAAGTGCCGCGCACACCTCACCCCACCCCTTCCTCCACGCACCCCGCCGGAGCTGCTGCGGGGGGGCGGCGGAGGGGAGAGGGTGGGACTGGGGAGGGGGCTCCCGCCCCCGCCCGCGGCTCCGCATGCTCGGCGGAGGCGGCCCTGCGAGGCTGGCGCGGCCGCTCGGAGCTGTCCGCGGTGCTGAATCGCGGCGCGGCGCGCCGAGGCGCGGGCAGGACCGGGGCGAGGCAGCCGAGGCGAGCGGGGCGCCCGCGCTGGCCCGGGAGCCCTCTTTATGTGCAGTTCCTGGCGCGCCGCAGCAGCGTCGCGCGCCTTGACTCGCGGAGGCAGCCCCGGCTCCGGCGGGCTGGCGCCGAGGAGGATGAAGGGCTTCCTCGGGCTGGCGCTGGGCTACCTGGCGGCGGACCTGCTCAGCCTGTGGTGCCGAGCGCAGGAGAAAGCCGGGCAGCACCTGGGCAGCATCGTGATGCTGGCTGGCGGCAACCAGAGCCGCGGCGGGGAGCCGGGCATCGACGCCTCCGAGCCGCCGCCGACCCCGGAGGAATGCCGGGGCTACTTCGACGTGATGGGCCAGTGGGACCCGTCCTTCAACTGCAGCGTCCGGGAGTACCCGTTCTGTTGCGGTACTTGTGGCTTCCGCTTCTGCTGCAAGTACCAGAAGGGCCGCCTGGACCAGGATATCTGCACCAACTACATCAAGCCCCCCTGGCTGAACGGGCGAAAGACTCCCAACCGGCCTTTGGACCTTTCCCACGACCCCACCAGGGACAAAACGAACCTCATCGTCTACATCATTTGCGGTGTCGTGGCCGTCATGGTGCTGGTGGGCATCTTCACCAAGCTGGGGCTGGAGAAAGCGCACCGACCGCAGCGGGAGCACATGTCCAGGTGAGCCAGGGGCTTTCGGGTTTCCTGCTGGCTGAGAGGGGTGGGTGGGAGCCCCCAAGCCCCACCTGCCTGCAGGCAGCCGGAGCACAGAGGTTGCCCCCACCTGGGTCTACCTGCCTGTGCTTCTGAGCCTACTGGTGAATGATTTGGGGCCAACTCCAGCCCAGACTGAAAACTCCTTTCCCTTCGCTTCTTCCAAGCCTGCCCTGCTCTCCCTGCTGGTCTTGGCACGAAGCTCTGGGGGCCGTAAGAAAGAGGTGCCATGCTCTGGCGCATTAGCAGATGGTTGTGCTGGGGGATTAACCCACATTTCTGGCGCAGCGATGGCCAAGCAGCTCCCGACAGTGAAGAGATGGGAAAGGCACGCACACATGCACACACCCCAAAGTCGGGCAGCGGGAACGATTGGAGGAAATGTGCTGCTGCAGGGGCCCTCGGCATCTTCCCCCCTGCAACTCCCGTGACCCTGCACAGAGGGGCCAAAGTTCCCTTGCTTGCCAACACACGCCCTCCGCCAGCATGCCACTCCGGTCTCCCAGCACAACACCAGAGCGTTCCCTTCCCTTCCCTTCCCTTCCCTTCCCCGCATCCCACAAGTATTGCGGCCCCAGCCAAAGGTCTGCATCCTGATCCTCATAACTGCTAATCATAATTAGTAATTGTAGTTGCAACGGAGGGCAGCTGCAGAGAGGGGCTTCCAGTGGACAGTCCTGCTGGGAGATCCCTCTCAGCCTCCCCTGACCTGATCTGCTCCAAAGCACTTGGACTGCAATTTCCATCATTCCCACCCTGGCTGGGGAAGGTGGGTGTTGGTGCCCACTGTACTGGGTTCGGGGAAAGCTAATCCATTTGGAGAGCGCTTCCTCGTTTCATATAGCATTCGGTTCCAACCTGGAGGCCAAGGACTGGGTGTGTACGGTTGTGGCATGTGTTCGGGGCATGCCGGCCACCGAGTGAGCGAGTGTTTTCGATCCCCCACGTACTCCTGCCCAGTTCGCCTGGCGCTGCTGGTGCCCCCCTCGAGCAGGCTCAGGGCTGCCGCTGGGCTGGAGTCATCCACTCCGCTGGGGCAGGCTGCTTCCCCTTGCAATCCCAGATCCCCGCCCCCTGCATTGTGGCAACAGGAGGGAATCAAAGACAAAACCCATTTGTCAAGTTATTTGGTCTGTCTGATTCATTATGCTAATCCCCAACACATGAAAGCAAAACAGATGGGGAAAGGCATTTGCAGATAAAATAAAAACACTTAAAAAAAGGAAAAAGAGAAGCGAAGCAAAGCAAATGGCTTGATCAGATTGGTTCCAGTAACTAGGGTAACCTTACCCCAGCTGAGTGCCTTCCAGATTGGAGGGACTGCAGTTCTCACTATGCTGGCTGGGGATGATAGGCACCTGAGCCCAACACATCTGGAAGGTGCTGCCTGTGTGGGTGCAGGAGGAGGCATTGATCCAGGATAACTTTTGAGACAAACGCCAGAGTTAAAAGGTCTTTGTCAGCCATGCTCTTTGTCATGGCATGGCTGATGCACCCTCAGAAAGCTCAGCTCAAAGGCAGGTTGCTTCCTGCTTCCTCGTCCTTTCCTTGCCTCCCTCCCCCTTTTCCCTCCCCTGCCCCTCCCTCCACTCCTGAGATGGACTCAGCACCTGGAACACCTTCCCTGCCCAAGATCATGCTATCTGCTTTGTGATTAACAGCCTCCTCCTGCACCGAGGCACCCAAAATAGGCTTCGGAATGCATCACCCATTCTTTCGCTAGCAATTATTTGCTATTTATAAACTGGCTGATGGGTGATCATTTTTACTACCAAGGAGGAAAAGCGGAGCAGAGGAATCTGTAGGCAACCCAATATGCTCTGTGAGTGATGATCTGTGAGAGGCCGGCTTTGCTAGTGTGGGGCTGAAGGGGGGAAAAGCTTGCCAGCTTTAGGGAGCCATTCCACTCCAGGAAGACCAAGCATATTTGCAGGTCTTGGAATTCCATCCCATCCTCCACCTTTCAATTCCAGGAGAGGCCGTGTCCCTTGCTACTCTTCCCCAGTGCCCTGGCCGGCAGCAGCAGCAGCTTATGTGGCATCTCTGCACAGGCAGGTATGATGAAAGGTAAACCAGTTCATGGTAGCAAAGAGTGTAGAAATAGATTGGAAGGAGGATGTCCAATCCTGGTTCAGTCGGGGAAAATGCATTTGCACGCATCCTGCAGACTTTTCAGTTCTAAAAGTCAGTGGACAGGTGCATGCTGGAGAGCAGAGGCCCAATTCTCCCTCGTGAGAGCATCACACTGTAAGAAGAGCCCAGCTGGATGAGACCAGCAGTCCATTTAGTCCAGCATTATGTCCACGCAGTGGCCAAGCAGGTGCCCAGGGGAAACTCACAGGCAGGACTTCCTGCCCACCTTCTCAGCCACCAGCTTCTATAGTTGGACTGCCCCTGGGGGTAGCCAACTGGGACTAGTGGCTATGACAGCCTTCTCCTCCAGGAACGTTTCCAGTCCCCTTTGAAAGCTATCGAAAGAAGAGGCCATCACAACACTTCGTGGTGGTGAATTCCAAAGCTTAACTCTGTGTTGGGTGGAAAAGTCCTTCCTTTAGTCTGTCCTAAGTCTCCTTCCAATGAACGTCATGGGATGATCCCACCGGAGTGCAGAAGGAAAGAGGGAAGGGAACACCTCCCTGTGCACTTGCTCCACACCAAGCATAATTCTGTGCTTCTCGGTTGTACACCTTTTGCCTCCAGTGCTTTTTTCTAAGCTAAACTATCCCAGCTGTGGAAAGCTAAACTTACCACTTAGGCCCCATTCCCTCTAGAATGCCTAGAGGGAATTACCTCTCCCCGTCACACGGCTCCTAAAATGCACCTTTCCTGCAAAGATTAACACCACACCGCTGTTCATCCTGCACCAGAACTGGGTACACCTCTATTTTGTTTGGGCTTCTCTTCTCCTCCCCTTCTTTCCTTTCTCCACAGACATACTTTGGGTGTTAGTTCGTTGGGGGCTGTCTCTTGATATATTAAATGCATATCCTGGCTCCCTTTCAGGGCAGGACCCCTCCTGAGGCAGTGTACAGTCATAAAAAACAATGCAGCAATAAAAAAACAGTAAAAACACAGTAAAACAGCACACACAACTATTCTAAAAGGAAAAAAAATCAAGCAGCAATCAGAAAATAAAGCACACAGAAATGCACTGCAGCTAAATCCAGTTCAGTCAATGGCACACAATCAGGGGAGGGCTGGAGTAAGGCAGGAAGTTTCATCAGGGCCTCCTTAAATGCTTGCAGAGATGGTAGAGCCCAGAGGGCAACTTATTCCAGAGGTATGGGGCCACTGTGGAAAAGGCCCTCTCTTGTCTAGACATGCTGACATGTCTGGAAAGATGAGCCAATGAGAAGGGCGTTTCTGACTGACCATAAAGAGCTGGCAGGCAAAGGGAATTTGGTCCCAAGCTGTTTAAAACATGAATGGCCAAAACTGGTGCCTGAAATTGGGTTCAAAAACACGCCAGCAGCCAGTGCAGCAGATGCCGTTGTTCTCTCTGTGTGTGTTTGAGTGCATTACTTACTTAATAAATCACGGCATTTGTCACCCAAACAGCATGTCCTGTAAAACAGGGGAGGGTGGACAGACATTGGGAGTGTGCTTTGTGTTTTCCTGGAACCCCGAGTTCTACCACAGCCAGGTGCAAAAGATGTATTCTTAGCAGTAAACTGTATCATGTTTCTGAGCACGTTCTGAGCCTAGGAATGTGTTTCTGTGTCAGAACTGGATGGCACTCTCTGTACTTTCATGCAGAAGTCCAGCCCCAAGCCTCTTGATTTCAGCAGCCCAACTGAGCCGGAAAAATCATTTGGCTGTTGCTGGGACCCTTGCAGGTCTACTGCAAACCTACTTCTTGTACTTTCCTTTCTACCTTCAGTCCACTTGTGACCTAAAACTCCTAAAACTTGTGACCTAAAACTACTGCTGATGGAAGATAGTTCAGCTCTGGGATGGCTCTTGAGAGGATTCTTAAGGATGCCTACCTGCAGAAAGGGTGCCCTTCCTGGATGGACCCATAAGTTGTAGGGCAATGGTCTGCCAGTGGGAGAGCATGTGTGGCACATGCGGAAGGTGTGGTGTTCTGTATGTGTTCTGTCTTGAAGGCAAAGGTGTAAGGAAAGGGCTTTGTTGGTGCACTTGAGAGCTGCTGGCTGCCCGAGCAGAAAATAGAAATTATCTCACGGGGAAGTGCTGGTCTAAGATTCCCACACTTCTTGCCCCTTGCTCCAGGAGCTCAAGGATCCCATTTTGCAGAAACAAAGATAGTTCATGGGGCCCTCTATCAGCAAGCCGCGATTGCATGGCATTTTCCACATGCTTGCAACAACCAGAATTTCCTCCAGGAGTCATCCCTGCAATGCAAAAGGGGTCCGCAGCCCCTCTTTATTTGGTGAAGGCATTTGTAATTAATTACCTTTTCCCATTGACTCAAATGCAAGCTTCTTGACTGTCTCAAATGCTGTTGCACAAGCATTCATTCTAATGCACATTTCTCTTCTTTGATTCTTTTATGCTGCTTATCTGATAGTAGTTCCTTGAACATTCTTGCTACTTTAGCTAAGCCTTGTGATTTAGAAGAGATGAGATCCCGGAAACCTCTTTGGGCCAACTGCTTTCAAGATTAGTCTCCCAGTCCTCAAAAAGGCTATCAATGCTGCAGTTAGCTCATTTTTAGTTATCAGTACAAGTCTCCGAAGGAGGATTGTAAGCAGTTAATAAAAATGCTGGGGAACTGATTGTGTGTGGTGGGGTAGAAGAACCAGATGCTCACTTATCATTGTGGTTACATTGACATCCCAAGACTTTTCCTCTTGCAAGGAACCCAAGGTGGCTTGCAAGATTCTTCCCCTCCCCATTTCACCCTCAAAACAACAGCCCTGTGTGGTAGGTGAATCTGAGTCCCCGAGAAAACTTTGTAGCCAAGTGAGGATTAGAACCTGGAACTCTTACCTCTATGCTACACT